CTGGGCTTCTCCGACCCACAGAACCGAACAGAACCGTACTGTGTAGACCAGGAAGTACCGACATTTTAAAGAGCTCTTTTCCCGGTTCATTCGGGAGTCTTCCCATTGGTCAGAACCGACCAGACGGGGTGTGTTTTGTGACGTAAGTGGTTAGAAGACAGCAAGAATTGTTATGGAACAGATCAGAAATGTTCTCACAGACAGAGAGAGTTTTGTTTTGGCGAGTTTTAGAAACAGGTGCCAAAACCCCCCTGTTGACGTCTGAGAGGATGAAAAACAAGGCAGTTGTTCCAACACATGTCTGCTTCGATTCCTGACCCTGGAAAACGCACACTTGCTCATTCAAAGACAGAAATCAGAAAATGCATAATTACTCTGTAACAGCTTTAACATGAGTTCTAACTTTGCATGAGAATTAAAAATCATTACACAGTTAATAAAATTGATTAGTTCACTGCAACATCTAAAATGGTTTGAACTAAGACACTTTGATTATCAACATTTGTAAAATAGTAATGATAATAGAACAGAGAGTGTTCTTCCACTTGAATTTTCAAGAAAGAAAGTCTCAGGATGGGTGAACCTGTATTTCTGGATTCAAATCAATGAAATGACAGTTCCTGTCCCACAAGGTTCTTAAGGTCAAGAGTTTTGACCTTAGGCTTAGTCTTGACATCGGGTTAAGTTCACTACACACTCGACCAGGGGTATTGCATCTTCGACTGCCTTGCATAATGGTATGACAATGTAGGACATTTGCACTGCGGCCGCATGGTCAACACCCTGCTCATTCATTCGCTCTTATCTACGTGATGTGACGGCCCGTTCCATGACACATTCTGTCCTTAGTGCTCTAATAGAATGAAGATTGTTGTTTTCATGGAACTCTGTTTAAGCTCACATCTGTCTGCATGCTTCAGAGTGTGAGATGTGTTATCAGTCACAAGTTGTGTCTGTTATTTTGGTTCTATTGTCACTAATCAGTTCATGACTATTGTTACTAATCAGTTCATTTGATTAATAATCAGTCCATTTGTTATTATTAATCTGTCTATACTGTTCAGCCATGAACGCATAGTTACACAACATGCGTCTGTGCATGGCTCACATAATTACGCAATGCGTAATTACGCACATGGGGAGCTGAGTGACAAGACGTTTTTTGGGCAAGCTCCTGCTTCATACGGTGTTCGAATGGACCCAGTGAGGCGAGGACCACATCTGCTTCGCCCTTAACCCACCAAGCGACAGCCTTAAAGGGCGAAGCTTATACGAAATAGAACGTTGGTTACGTACTGTAATCCCAGATTCTATGAGTATAAGCGTAGCCCTTTAAGCGTCGGGCCTCACTGGCTCCTAAATGGCTGAAGAAAAAGCTATTTTTGGGAGCCGATTTCCCGCTCTTAACGTAATTTATACGGACCGGGTAGGGCCCACACAGCAGGTGGGCGTGGACTAAATTTTTCAGTGCAATGCTCCGCATAACGGGATAAACCCACCAAGCGACAGCCTTAAAGGGCTACGCTTATACTCATAGAATCTGGGGTTACAGTACGTAACCAACGTTTTTATATTGAACGTTTTTTGAATTTATCATGTCCTGGATGACTGAGAATCTTCACCAGCATGTTCTCTACACTTCTTTATGATTTAAGCTTATTCCTGATATTTTAACTACTTTTCAGCTGTTTTTTGCTCATTTCAGCTTTATTCAGATATTTTCCACTTTTTTGGGCTCATTTCTGCTTCTTTCAGCCTAATTGGGCAAACATGTATTTTTTTCTGCTTTGTTCTACCTTTTCAGCTACCTTTTTAGCATTTTTTAGCTAATTACAGCTGTTTTCAGATAAATTCTAGTTTTTTTTATGGTAATTTCTACTACTTTCAACCTCATTTTTTATACAATCTTTATTTATATAGGTTAGTGAGGCTTGAGGACTCATTTACAAGAGAGACCTGTTTTAAACAAAGAACACAGATGAAGTACAGAAAACAATAGACAATCGTTTAAAAGCATATAAAATGAAAAGTGAATAAAAGAAAGGATATAAAAACAAAACTGAAACAGCTACCCTGATGCATGCTCAATAATCCAGGTAGAAAAATCTAAAAAAAATTAAGTCTGGTCCTCTGGACATTATTTTTTTATTTTTTTTTTATTGTAGAAATGTTTCGTCTTTTATCCAAAAGACTTCTTCAGTCTGAGGTGCTGTATTCAGCTCAGTCTTATAAATAGCACCTTCTCAGAGTGGATCAACCAGTTTTGCTGCTGACAACCAAAACCAGCTGCTCACATAATCAAAAAGGATCATCAGCCTAACAATGGATCATTAGCACACTGATGGCTGTTTGCTATTCACAGAGGGCTGAGTGATACTAGCAATCACAGCATTGTAAGAGGGGGACAGTTGAACACGGAGGCCTCCACCCCTGTTTAATGATGGATGGTTTATTTTCACAAAGATGGCCTCCTTTACTGCTCTCTCTAACAATTGTTCCTCTCTATCCAGGATGTGAACATCCTCATCCCTGAAAGAGTGACCACTGGCCTGGAGATGAGTGTAGACCGCAGAGTCCTGGCCTGATGATGTTAATCTTCTGTGCTGGGCCATCCTTTTGGCCAGTGGCTGTTTAGTTTCCCCGATGTTTCTTGGACTGTGAGGTCTCAGTTTCTGATAGAGGACATTTGCAAACCGAGGTGTACCGCAAACCCACCCACACAGACCAGTATTTGCAGTTTGACTCCCATCACCCATTGGAGCACAAGTTAGGAGTCATCAGGACTCTGTACCACAGAGCAGACAGTGTCTCCACTAACTCAGGAGCCAGGAAGAAGGAGAAGTCCCACACAAGACAAGCTCTAGAGCAATGTGGATATCCTAAATGGGCCTTCCTGAAAGCAGAGAAGAAACCCAAACAGGACTCCAGTCAGCCATCAGGTGAAAAGGAGGAACCCAGACCCAGACCAGTGGTCATTCCGTATGTTGAGGGAGTATCAGAGAAACTGAGATGTTTATTTTCTAAACATAACGTCCCAGTGGCTTTTAAACCCCAAAATACATTACAGCAAAGACTGGTTCATCCCAAAGATCTAGTCCCCCGGCACAAACAGAGTAATATTGTGTATGCTGTTCAATGTCGACAGCACGGTGGCACAACTGGTAGAGCTGCTGCCTCTCAGCGAGTAGGTCCCTGGTTCAAACCCCGGTCCAGGGGCCTTTCTGGGTGGAGTTTGCATGTTCTCTCCGTGCATGCGTGGGTTTTCTCCGGGTGCTCCAGTTTCCTCCCACAGACCAAAAACATGCATGTTAGGCTGATTGGTAACTCTATATTGTCCCTAGGTGTGAGTGAGAGAGTGAATGGTTGTTTGTCTCGTTTGTCTCTATGTGGCCCTGTGATGGACTTGTGATCTGTCCAGGGTGTACCCCGCCCCTCGCACAGTGATTGCTGGACATGGGCACCGGCGACCCCTGTGACCCAAAATGGAATAAGTGGGTAAAATAATGGATGGATGTTCAGTGTCAGGAGGGTGATCAGTCTCACATCGGAGAAACTAAACAGCCACTGGCCAAAGGATGGCCCAGCACTGAAGAGAAACATCATCAGGCCAGGACTCTGCGGTCTACACTCATCTCCAGGCCAGCGGTCACTCTTTCAGGAATGAGGATTTTCACATCCTGGATAGAGAGGAACGATGGTTTGAGAGAGGAGTAAAGGAGGCCATCTTTGTGAAAAGAAACCGTCCATCATTAAAAAGGGGTCGAGGCCTCCGGGTTCAACTGTCCCCCTCTTACAACGCTGTTATTGCTAGTTTCACTCAACCCCCTGTGAATAGTAAACAGCCATCAGTGTGCTAATGATCCATTGTTAGGCTGATGGTCCATCTTGATCATGTGATCAGCTGGTTTGGTTGTCAGCAGCAAACTGGTTGATCCACTATGAGAAGGTGCTATTTATAAGACTGAGCTGAATACAGCACCTCAGACTGAGGAAGCCTTTCGGATGAAAGATGAAACGTTTCAAAAATTATTATTTTTTTAATGTCCAGAGGACCAGATTTAACTTTTTTAGATAAAACAGCTACAACATAAAGCAATGTAGAAAACTAAAAACAGGAACATGGCTGCATTGGTATTTACCAGAAACTTAGCAGTTGTTTAAAATCCCTTAGGGAGGTCAATGTCAAGAGCTTCAAATCTTTTTTGCAAGATATTCCGAGAAACAGGAGTGGATTACGAGAAGGCCCTTTTGCCAAGTTCAGGCTGCACTGAGGGAACACTGCATGTAATAATGCCCTGCTAGTTTCAGCTTCTCCAGCTATTTCAGCTACTATTTAGCTGTTTTATTCTAATTTTAGCCTTTTCAGCTAATTCTGTACTTTTCGCTCATTTCAGCTCTTTCCACTTACTTTGAGTAGCTTAAGCTTCTTTCTGCATTTTCAGTTACTTTTCATCTCTTTTTTTGTTGTTGTTAATTTTAGACTTTTTTGACTAATTTCCAAATTTATGTGCTCATTTCTGCCAATTTAAACCTAACTCAGCAACAACAAAAAAAACTTCTTTCTGCTTTCTTCTGCTAATTTAGACTTTTTCTTTCATTTCAGCTACATTTTTTTTAATCTAATTTCATCTGTTTTCAGCAAGTTCTTCAGCAATAATAATAGTCCTGCATTTTCACAGGAAATCTAGTTATGTAATCCTCTAGTTATGTTCACTACTCTTCAAAAATATAGTATAAAAATGAGGAGTCAGTAGTACATCAGTATTTCTTCAGATTTTCTCAAAACAATACAATTATATAACGAAAATACTTTTTTTAAAACAGATTATCTTTTAAAACTACGTCTTCCTAAAACTTAATATTTACTTAAAAGTACAATGTGCCCATGCTATTCGGGTGGCGACCTCTAGTGATCATTACAGATACTACATGAGTTTTTTGTTTTACGACACTTCCTCCTCCCTGACGACAGCCTCTTGATAACGACAACACTTTCTGTTCTCTGACGGCAGTCGTTTGCTTTAGCACCCCCCAACATGGCAGCAGCTGCTCCGACACATTTATCCGAGAACCTGGACGGTTCGGGACCGGGAGAAGCCGGCGGACCGAACTCCCCGGTGTGTCTCATCGTTCTCGGGATGGCGGGCTCGGGTAAAACCACTTTCGTTCAGGTGAGCCCCACGCATGCGCCTGACTGCCCCGCGTGAGGTGGAGGCTCTGGCTAATATCTGAAATTTCATGTTGACCAACAATGCAGTTAAAGTTTCGTTTGTTGTTGACGAGTTTTCAGATAATATTCATAGCCGACCTGTTGAAATGGACGGGTTGTAAACATCAGACAGTAGAGGAGTTTAAAGCGTCTCTGTTAAAATCGTGATTGTTTTCATGGAAATAAGACGGTCAAAATCATCTTAAATTTTTACATCTAATGTTACACGTATCCTGTACAATGCTATTGGACACAGGGCAGGGGAAATGTAAAATGTTTAAAGGTCTAGTAGTCTTTTAGGAAATGCATATCGCCCGCCATCTTTCATGACAGAGTTCTAAAGAGGGTTTGTTTGGTCATCGTTAAATTAAAGTTCAGATGAAGAAGACTGAAGTCATGTTGTTTCCACCTAATGGAACAGTCAGAACCACAAAGCTCTCTAGCGCCGCTAGACAGAGTCAGTAATGTGGGAGTGAAAATGCACTTCCGTGGAACTAACCAGTTGATTTGAACTTGTCTGTATTCTATAAAGTTAGTCATTTAGTTCTTTTCTTTACCTCTATGTGATCTGTGTATTTCATCCTGTGTCCTTTGCTTGTATGTTTTTGCTGTACAGCACTTTGGTTGGCCTTGTTGCTGTTTGAAGTGCTTTATAAATAAAGTGGCATGGTATGGTAGATGATCTTTATTCTGTGAAACAATCGAGCCAACTCAAGATGGCTACCACTACTAATTATCCTTATAAACACAAAAATTGTTTTTTTAAAGATGAATAAAAATTTGGTGTCAGTCAGAGAGTCAGAGTTTCTTTATTGTTGTTCGCACCACATGTGGTGGAACAAAATTACATACACAGGGTCCCAGTTACATCCAGCAATAAAATGTGAAAGAAAAATGGTAATAAGATCTAAGATATGAACTAAGAAAAACATCAACTAAAAATACACTAAGCAGTAAGCACTAATAGCATAAAAACAATAAACACAATACGCCAAACTGCAGCACGAACATGAGTCTGTGTGAACAGATGAGCACAAATGAATGCAGCAACATGAAACAGATCAGCAGCAACATGAAACAGATCAGCAGCAACATGATGTGATTTTTCACATTGATTATTCTGGTTAGATATTCATGAGTCTAACAGCCTCAGGGTAGAAGCTGTTCCTCAGTCTGGTGGTTCTACACTTAATACTCCTCAACCTCCTTCCTGAGGGGAGTGGGGCAAAAAGTGTGTGTGCTGGGTGAGTGGGGTCCTTCATGATGCAGGTGGCTCTCTTCCTGCATCTGGAGGTGTAGATGTCTGTGATGGTGGAGAGACTGACTCCAACAGACTTCTGTGCAGCCTTCACCACTCTCTGCAAAGCTTTTCTTTCTGCAGCTGTGCAGCCTCCATGCCACATGTTGATGCTGGAGCACAGGATGCTCTCCACTGCACACCTGTAGAAGGAGGTGAGGACTGAGCTTCCCAGACCAGCTCGTCTCAGCCGCCTGAGGAAGTACAGGTCCTTCTCAAAAAATTAGCATATTGTGATGAAGGTCATTATTTTCCATAATGTAATGATAAAAATGAAACTTTCATATATTTCAGATTCATTGCACACCAACTGAAATATTTCAGGTCTTTAATTGTTTTGATACTGATGATTATGGCATACAGCTCATGAAAACCCAAAATGCCTGTCCCAAAAAATTAGCATATTTCATCCCACCAATGAAAGACAAGTGTTTTTAATACAAAAAACGCCAACCTTCAAATAATCATGTTCAGTTATGCACTCAATACTTGGTCGGGAATCTTTTTGCATGAATGACTGCTTCAATGTGGCGTGGCATGGAGGCAATCAGCCTGTGGCACTGCTGAGGTGTTATGGAGACCCAGGATACTTCGATAGCGGCCTTAAGCTCATCCAGAGTGTTGGGTCTTGCGTCTCTCAACTTTCTCTTCACAATATCCCACAGGTTCTCTATGGGGTTCAGGTCAGGAGAGTTGGCAGGCCAATTGAGCACAGTAATACCATGGTCAGTAAACCATTTACCAGTGGTTTTGGCACTGTGAGCAGGTGCCAGGTCGTGCTGAAAAATGAAATCTTCATGTCCATAAAGCTTTTCAGCAGATGGAAGCATGAAGTGCTCCAAAATCTCTTGATAGCTAGCTGCATTGACCCTGCCCTTGATAAAACACAGTGGACCAACACCAGCAGCTGACATGGTACCCCAGACCATCACTGACTGTGGGTGCTTCACGCTGGACTTCTGGCATTTTTGCATTTCCTTCTCCCCAGTCTTCCTCCAGACTCTGGCACCTTGATTTCCGAATGACATGCAAAATTTGCTTTCATCCGAAAAAAGTACTTTGGACCACTGAGCAACAGTCCAGGGCTGCTTCTCTGTAGCCAAGGTCAGGCGCTTCTGCCGCCGTTTCTGGTTCAAAAGTGGCTTGACCTGGGGAATGTGGCCCCTGTAGCCCATTTCCTGCACTCGCCTGTGCACGGTGGCTCTGGATGTTTCTACTCCAGACTCAGTCCACTGCTTCTGCAGGTCCCCCAAGGTCTGGAATCGGCCCTTCTCCACAATCTTCCTCAGGGTCCAGTCACCTCTTCTCGTTGTGCAGCGTTTTCTGCCACACTTTTCCCTTCCCACAGACTTCCCACTGAGGTGCCTTGATACAGCACTCTGGGAACAGCCTATTCGTTCAGCAATTTCTTTCTGTGTCTTACCCTCTTGCTTGAGGGTGTCATCGATGGCCTTCTGGACATCAGTCAGGTCGGCAGTCTTACCCATGATTGCGGTTTTGAGTAATGAACAAGGCTGGGAGTTTTTAAAAGCCTCAGGAATCTTTTGCAGGTGTTTAGAGTTACGTCGTTGATTCAGATGGTTAGGTTAATAGCTTGTTTAGAGAACCTTTTCATGATATGCTAATTTTTTGGGACAGGTATTTTGGGTTTTCATGAGCTGTATGCCATAATCATCAGTATTAAAACAATTAAAGACCTGAAATATTTCAGTTGGTGTGCAATAAATCTGAAATATATGAAAGTTTCATTTTTATCATTACATTATGGAAAATAATGACCTTTATCACAATATGCTAATTTTTTTAGAAGGACCTGTACAGTCTCTGATGAGCTTTCTTGATCAGGCTGGTGGTGTTTTTGCGCCAGCTGACGTTGTCATTCAGGTGTACACCAAAGTACTTGTAGCTGGAGACTACTTCCACTGCAGATCCTCCTATGTTAAGGGGTTCCATCTGAAGTCCACAACCATCTCCCTTCGTCTTCTTCACATTGATGTGAAGGTTGTTCTTCCTGCACCGTTTCTCCAGGTGTTCTACCTCCTGCCTGTATCTGGACTCATCATTGTTTGTGATGCATCCCACCACCACTGTATCATCTGCAAAGTTTACAATATGACAGCCTGGATGATTAGGTGCACAATCATATGTGAGCAGAGTGAACAGGAGAGAGCTCAGCACACATCCCTGAGGGAGCCAGTGCTGAGGTTTATGGTGGAGGAGGAGAAGTTGTGGATAGGCCTGTCACAATAAATAATAAATCAATTAATTGCATGATAAAAGAAAATTATCAACCTCGTTTTCAATTATCGGCTTTATAATTTTTTTGTGTGTCTCTCTCTTTCTACTGAAGACACTGGATGACGAAAGGCTCAACTCCGGTGTTCTTCACTGACCTCTCTCTTTCTCTTTAAACTCCATTTTAACCGTCCAAAATTGTGTTTTTGGATCGTTAAAAGCAGTTAAACTGAGAAGCTAAGCTAAATTCCGACCTCGGGGGGGGGGGGGGGGCTCTGTCTTGTTGAAGCTCTACAATTCCCGGTTGAAACCTGTGCCTTCGTGTAAAAAGTTGTTTTTCTCTGAAAAAATAAGCTGAGAACTTGCTTACTGTTTTTTTTATTTATTTATTGAAAGCTTTGTGTGAAAAATGCTATGCTAAAGAGCTGAAACCACACCAAGCGTCTCCCATTTTGAGATCCAAAAACAAGAAAAGAGAGAGAGCCCATGTCACGTCAATGGGCCTCCTCCCATTTTTCTTAGATACATGCTGTTCACTCCCTCACTATCCATCCTTCGGTTCAAACCGTCTTACACTGCTATCCAATGGTCGAAAAAATGTACTAGACACAAAAATTAACCAACATTTCTTCTTAAATTTTACAATAATTACTAATTATTATCAAATTTCAAACAACATCATCGTTTATCACAATCATTTCTGAGACTATTAATCGCCCAGCCAAATTTGTTATCGTGACAGGCCTAGTTGTGGATCCTCACTGACTGCAATCTGTTTAAGAAGTCTAGGACCCAGTTGCAAATGGAGGGGCTTAGTCCTAGTGTGAGTAGTTTGTCCATCAGGGTTTGAGGGATCATGTTGTTGAAGGCAAACGTGAAGTCCACAAAGAGCATATGGAAGTAGGAGTCCTTCTGCTCCAGGTGGGTGAGAGCAGTGTGGACCACAGAGGAGATGGTGTCCTCTGGTGTGTTGGTAGCTGAGTAGAATATGAGCCTAACATCCTTGATCCCTGAGATCGAACATATTATTTTCCAGGTTTGACCAAAGCTCCGTTCTTTCTCTTCAGAAGATGGCTTGAGCCTAAGAAGGTGGGTGAATGAATGTTAGGCCTTTAATAGAAAGGTTTCAGCCTTACTGCTTCCACAGGAGTTATTAATTCTGGATGATCCAGGAGCAACTGGTCAAATGTATTGATTAACTGATCATCAGTGGGATCAAAGCAGGGGTTTTGTCCGCTGGCTTTTGTGGAGCCATGCAGGTTTGACCTTTGACCTGTGTGTTTCTTGTAGAGGCTGACGGCTCACCTTCACTCTCTGAAATCTCCTCCGTACGTCATCAACCTAGACCCAGCTGTTCACGAGATTCCATTTCCTGCAAATATCGGTATGAATCAAGTCTATTTTCTGGGTGTGTAAGGGCTCATATGCTTTTAGTGTTTCGATCTCTCTGAGATTGTGTGAAGTTCTGCCTTTTCAGAGCAGAATCAGTTTCAGGTTTTGATTCACCTCTGTGTTTCTCAAATGTTTTACTGATCGGAAAAAAACGTTGCCCTGATGAAATTTAAGAGCTAAAACTAGCTAAAATTCAAGACAGTCATCAGAAGGTTTTTTTTTTTTTTTTATTGCAGCAGTTGTTCTATTTTGGGTTTTTGTCCTTGCTCTTCTTATCTTTTGATCTCTAAAGCCATCTGTCTGTCCTCTCTATTGCTTTCTGTCTTTCCTTTCCTAGTCTTCAGTTTACTCGTTTGCCTTCAGTTTGTCCTCTCTGTATCCTTTGGTCTGTACCCTTCTTCTTTTTGGGCTGTCTTCTCCTTAGCATTCGATTTGACTTGTAGCCTTCAGTCTCATTTTGTCTGCAGACATTAGAGATACTGTCAACTACAAAGAAGTGATGAAGCAATATGGCCTTGGACCCAATGGCGGCATTGTGACATCACTCAACCTGTTTACCACACGCTTTGATCAGGTGACTTGACAATGCCCTTCAGTTTCTGGCATGTGGTCGCATGACAGCAGGTTAGACGAATGACAGCTGATGACTTTGTGTTTGGATGTTTCAGGTGATGCAGTTCATCGAGAAGAAGAGGCAGAACCACCAGTCAGTACCAACTGATTACTTACTTACTTGTGAGGTGGGGCTGGAAATTAAAGAGACCAAAGCCCTAATTGTGTTTTCTCTGCTGTTGGGGAGTAAAGGATTAAATATCAGAGTTGTACCAGCTGAGAGTCACTGTAACATCTTTATCAGGACTATGGAAACTATCTGGACGTGTTCTTGGACAATCTCACTGTCTTGTTGTCCCCCCCCCACACTCCTCCTGCAAACAGTATTATGTCTCTATGTTGCTTGCTGAACTAGATTTTTTTTTTCTACCTTACCTTACTGTGTCAAGGACACAGTGTGAGAGATCTTTTTTTATACCTTGTCGTCTCATGTTTTCTTCCCTGTTTCTTGCCTAAGTGATAAGGGCAGCGCTCATAAGGAGCCGCAGCCCCGTTACACTTCCGTCTGTCCTTCAGATGGAACGAAATATCACTGTACTTAACTGTGCAATGACAATAAAGTTTATTCTGATTCATTCCTGTACTCATGGAGCACCCCTCACAGTGTGCCTTGAGGGAAACAGTCCAGTGCCATCTTCAAGTATACACAACACATGTACAATGGTTGAGCAAACTCCCATGCCCCATCGAGGACCCTAGTGGGGGTAAAGAGTTGGTCCAGTGTTTCAGGGTCAGGACAGAACCTCCATTGTGAAACTGAGGTTCAACTATCAACCAGGCTGTCTTCTCCAGCAACCCTGACTAGGTCTTACCAGGCAGGCTGAGCAGTGCGATTTCCCTGTAAATGGAACACATCAGTCAGTCATCCATCCTTCCACCACCCCAGGGAATCACAACCCCAGTCTGCCAGTCCAGTGGTACTGCCTGCTTAGTCCATGTGATGTTGCAAAGGTGTGCCAACTAAGAACTCGGCAACATCCAGAGCCTTAAGGAACTCTGTGTACAGGTAGATCTCGTCTACCCCTGAAGCTCTGCTGCCGCAGAGCTTAAATACCTCGGGGACCGCAACCTACCCCCCCAACTCGGCTTACGCCATGGAAGATGTGCTGGTGGGAGAAGGTCCTTGAAATATTCCTTTCACTGCCCAGTGACATCACTGGTTGTGGGTAACAGCACCCCACCTGCACCATACACAGTGAGGTTAAAATACTGTAATACCCCTCAGATGTCTCTGGGGTCCTACCAGCAAGCAAGGCCGCATAGGACTCCACCTTCAGCCTTACAGCCTCCCTCACTTTGGGTGTTCACTAGTGGGTTTGAAGATGGTTGTCATTAGGGATGGGGCCGATCCGATCCAGTATCGGTATCGGCCTCCGATACCAGCATAATTTACGTATCGGATTTTCCGATCCTCCTGCCGATATTTCCGATCCATGATGCATGTTGGCTTCAAACTATGGAATGGATTTCCTGAACGGAGGCGTGTCTCATGAACCCAGAGTAATAAGACCCGCCTCACATTCAGGAAATCCAGTTCATAGTTTGCAGCCAGCTACAACGTGAGGGCTGAGTTAGCAGCACTGTGGCTAACAGCTAACAAAATTTTCATCTAAACATGTCCGCTGTGTGGAAGTATTTTTCACTAAAAACACCACAAAGCAATGCAGCAACGTGCAATGTCTGCAGAGCCATAGCGCCACATTAACCGCGGTAAAGTTAGTTTTATGATGGACATTCGCGCTCCATGGCTTCAGCGGGGCGCTACTCTCGCTGAATCCGAAAGAGGCGACTCGACCTCGGCCAGCCGCGTCCAATCTGCCCCGCTCAGTCTGCCTGTCTCTGAGGAGGGACAGACTGAGCACAGCTGCCCAAATCAGGCTGCCCGCTTCAGATTGAACAAGAAGAAAACATTGCTGAAACCATGGAGCTCAAATTTTTACAGAAAAGTTGCTAAACTTCATAATTAATGACCAACCACTATCACTTGTAGAAAACGAAGGATTTCTCAGCTTGATACTTGCAGCCAAGATATAGTTTACCCTCCAGGAGATATTTATCAGTACAACAGTAAACAATCATAAAAAAAACATATTTGAAAATTAAATGTATTAAAAACAAAAACAGCTACATTATAAAGTGATGTAAAATACTAAAAACAGAAACATGTCTGTTGGTTTATGCCATGAACTTAGCAGATGTTTTAAGCCATTTAACATTTTATTTAATTCATTTATTCATTCATTTTTAAATAAATAAAAGAAACAATAAAAAAATCATCAAAAAGAAAACATTGAATGAAAAGAGTGCAGAAAGAAGGAAAAAAATTCTTATATCCGCCCCTTATTTAAAAAAAATATAAAATAACTAAATAATCACTTAAATTAATCACTTTAATATCCACTTTAAAGCTAGGAATAAAAAAACAAAACATGTTTTGTGTTAGAATTTAATTCTAACTTTAAAACTTATCCAACATTAATAAAACTTTACCTCAAGTTGCCTTTTTGGACATGCATGCATAGATTTGTACAAATTGTACTTGAGAGGAGATTATTACAGCCTCATATAAAATCAATGATGATCATGATATCGGAACTAGATCGGTATCGGCCGATATTCAGACATGGGTATCGGGATCGGATCGGAAGTAAAAAAAGTGGATCGGTGCATCCCTAGTTGTCATAAGAGGTACAGGCAACCCTATGGCTACAACTCAAGGCAGCAGCCTTGACAATGGAGGTGTGGAACATGGCCCATTCAGGCTCAATGTCCCAAACCTCTGCTGGGATGCGGTTAATGCTGTGTCAGTGGTAGAAGCTCTGTGATTGGCTGATTTCTGACCTGATCTAGTCTCTGAGTGTGTTCTGTGTGTTTTTTAGGTACGTTCTGATTGACACTCCGGGGCAGATTGAAGTCTTCACCTGGTCGGCATCAGGAAGCATCATCACAGAGGCTCTGGTGGGTCTGCCTTGCTTCAGCTCAGTGGTGATGCCTGATGTGAGACCTAATGTCTCTGCTTTTGTGATCCAGGCATCATCCTTCCCCTGTGTGGTCATCTACGTGATGGACACGTCTCGCAGCGTGAACCCCGTCACCTTTATGTCCAATATGTTGTACGCCTGCAGGTACTATCTTTAACTCATTTAGCTGCCTTCTCTATAAAAGGCGACATCTTCGCTGCCTACTCAAGTATCCCACACTGCCTACACTGACTGATGAAAACAATAAAAAAAAAAAAAAATGTTTTTGCTCTCACTGAGTGTAGTATGCACCTTATTTCATTGTCAGACATGTCAAGTCTTACCGATTTTTCAAACTCTCTGCTTTAAATTTATCTTGCGTCTCAGTCAGCCCAAAAGCAAACCCCATTCTCCTCATCCTCCTCCCCCACTAGTGCTCTGGGCCCCTCCCCCTCCTCCCTCACTGCTCATGTGCACCCAGAATGGGTGAACATGTAAACAAGCAGAGCACCCTGGGAATCCATGTAAAGAGTGATGTGACATCTAAAGAGACCATTGTTTCATCAGTCTCCATGATGACATCCCTCACCTTATCCACAAAGTCCATGGTGTTCTGTATGTGGTGTTCTGAGCTGCCAACTAAAGGGATAAGTACAGACGCCAGATATTTGGAAACATTGTAAGTGACAGAGTTAATCATGCTAACAATTGGTCTTAAAGGTACACCTTGTTTGTGGATTTTAGGTAAACCATACAGACTAGGTGTGGCCTCCCCTGGGTACAGTCTGTGGTACAGAAAACGGTCAATAGCCTTGTCCTGCTCCAAAATTTTCAGGCAATCTATCAATTTCTTCTTGTAACCACTTCCTGGATCTCTTTTCAGAGGTTCATAAGTGTTTGTCACTAAGGAGTGTCATAACTTTCTCATGATAGTCTTTCTGGTTCAAAATCACTGTGCACCTTCCTTTGTCTGCTGGGAGAATGATGATGTTTTTGTCCTTGCTAAGAGTGGTGAGTGCGTCCCTCTCCTCTCTACTGATGTTGGAAGGTGGTGGTTTGGCATTGCTGAGGCAGGCTGAAACTTTGATTCTGAGCTGTTCTGCTTCAGCCTCTTTAATTTTGTTGTTGCTGATGGCTGACTCAGTAGCTGTGATCATCTCCACCAGAGGAATTCTACTTGGTGCAACCACAAAGTTCAGTCCCCTGGCAAGAATCTCTGTCTCTGGCTGGGTGAGCTGTCTGTCAGATAAATTCTTCACCCACTTTTCTGTCTCCCTGGCATGTAGTTGACTACTGGAGTGTTGTCCTACACTGAATGTGTTGTTATTGGAATAGTGATGGTGTTGATGAGCTATTAGTAAGTTAAACTTGTTTTGTTGTCGAGTCTTGGACTGCAAACCCACCCACACAGACCAGTATTTGCAGTTTGACTCCCATCACCCTTTGGAGCACAAGTTAGGAGTCATCAGGACTCTGTATCACAGAGCAGACAGCGTCCCCACTAGCTCAGGAGCCAGGCAGAAGGAGAAATCCCACACAAGACAGGCTCTAGAGCAATGTGGATATCCTAACTGGGCCTTCCTGAAAGCAGAGAAGAAACCCAAACAGGACTCCAGTCAGCCATCAGGTGAAAAGGAGGAACCCAGACCCAGACCAGTGGTCATTTCGTATGTTGAGGGAGTATCAGAGAAACTGAGACGTTTATTTTCTAAACATAACGTCCCAGTGGCTTTTAAACCCCAAAATACATTACGGCAAAGACTGGTTCATCCCAAAGATCCAGTCCCCCGGCACAAACAGAGTACTGTTGTGTATGCTGTTCAGTGTCAGGAGGGCTGTGATCAGTCTTACATCGGAGAAACAAAACAGCCACTGGCCAAAAGGATGGCCCAGCACAGAAGATCAACATCATCAGGCCAGGACTCTGCGGTCTACACTCATCTCCAGGCCAGCGGTCACTCTTTCAGGGATGAAGATGTTCACATCCTGGACAGAGAGGAACGATGGTTTGAGAGAGGAGTAAAGGAGGCCATCTTTGTGAAAAGAAACTGTCCATCATTAAACAGGGGTGGAGGCCTCCGGGTTCAACTGTCCCCCTCTTACAATGCTGTGATTGCTGGTATCACTCAGCCCTCTGTGAACAGTAAACAGCCATCAGTGTGCTAATGATCCATTGTTAGGCTGATGGTCCTTCTTGAGCATGTGATCATCTGGTTTTGGTTGTCAGCAGCAAAACTGGTTGATCCACTCTGAGAAGGTGCTATTTAAGAGACTGAGCTAAATACAGCACCTCAGACTGAGGAAGTCTCTCGGATGAGAGACGAAACGTTTCTACATTTTTTTGTTGTTGTTTTGCTTTGTTTTGTTTTTTTGAATGTCCAGAGGACCGGATTTAACTTTTTTAGATAAAAAAAATCTAATTTTGACGAGCATTTTACTAAATTGTTAGGATAAATAAAACAACTAAATCAGTATATTGTAGATTTAATAAGGTAGAACGTTGACTTACTAGTCTTTAAGCTGATCTTGATCTGAGATCCTACTTAAAACTGCATTCTTTTGTTCTCTTTTTGACCTGAGCACGATTTAGACTTGACTGTATCATTCTGCACTTCATCACAAATTATCCTCTGCACTATATAACCTCATGTAGTAACAATGCAGAGCAACCCATAGGGCAAGTAGCCTTCATAAACCAAACAAGCCAGTGACCCTTCTACACACTAAATCAACTATGTAGTATGACATATACTGAGATATATTCATACATTAAACGGGTTCTTCATTTTTCTGGACTGTGTAACATGCGTGCATTGAATTTAACAGAAATGTAACGAGAGACGTTATTTATCTTTGACCCATCAAAATGAATGCGGTCATTTATTTACAGAATCAAAGATTAACATCAAACATTTACATTAATTTGGCAAAATATGAAAACAACAACAGCATAATTAATCAGTTTTACAACCAGGAAATGAGAACAATACGGCGATTGTTTTCACTTTTCATTTGAACAGCAGACATCAATTCACACGGCGGTGATTGATTTTCTAGCAGAAAGGAGAGTTTGAAGATGGAAAATTGAGATTTAT